AAATCATTTTCGTTGGAGAGGGCGGTCTGACGTTTGGAAGAGGCGGTCGGGCGACTATTTTGCTGGAATGAGCGGTCCGACATTTCATTGTGGCGGTCCGGGGATTATGCTATTGGAGAAATGGAAAGTTCGGCGTTTTGAAAAAGCGGTCCGGCATTTTAAAGGGGCAGTCCGAAGTTTTGAAATGCCGGTACAGCACTTTGGAAAAAAAAAAAAATTTGAACTTTTTGTACTGGGGGCATTTGTTAGGAATGATGGTTGTTAGGGGCAAGTTGCTCAAAAAAAGCTAGGTAAGGGTAAATTAATTAGAAAGCCCATTTTGGGAGGTTTTATGTAATTTTCCCTATAAAAAAGTGCTTTCAGGGAAATAGATAAACGGAAATTAACATGAATATCTCATTATTTTTGTAGTATTAATAAATTTCTAATTTTACTATCATGTCATTTATTTTACTATTTTCTCCAAAAATATCTTTAGTTCGGAACTTAAAGTTGTGAATTGGTTTATTTCTTTTTTTGGCTTGAAACTCCAATAATTTTCTTTTTTTTTTGGTGAAAAGTGAGGTTTGGAGTTCAATCAGCATTTTTGTTTTATAATTGCTTTCAGTTATTTAGTTTTGTCAATGATTGAATCTAGACTTCAAGTTCCAAGGCAATGAGTCAGGTCCGTTCGGGTCAGCCAGGTTCACCCGAACTAAGGTAGGGTCCAAGTGACTAGGACTGGATCAGAACTGAGTCTAGAAATTAAAGAAATTATTATATATTATTTAATACATATTTAATATATTTTATACTGATACCGGATCCGAGCCCGACCTGAACCAAACCAACCAAATAGGGACTAATACTCGATTTGCGTTGGGTCGAAGTTATTTGGACCCGGACCAGACCGCCGGGTCCAAAACATAGACCCGGACTAGATCGCTGGGTCCAAAACATAGATCCGAACCCGGTTTAGGTTGACTTGCCTAGTCCGGGAGTCAACCCAACCCGATTGCCATCCCTATTGTAAATTGGGAGTTCGGAACTCCAAGTTCCAAACTGCCGATCGATAAAAATTCAAACGAAAAATTGGTTTGTTCTCAATCCTAAGTTCCAAACCGCATTTTTAACTAAGAAAAAGTTTGTCCTAAGCTTGGAGTTCTAAATCACCGAAAAGAACTGAAACCTAGGGTATTTTGTGGAAAAATAAAAAGGTAAAATAATTCAAGTTTTCCCCCTACCAAACGCCCAATTTCTAGCCCAACTATACTAAGGTCCATACTACCATCATGCACCCTAGTTTGCTCTACTCCAATGATCCATACACCACACTCAATTAGGGACCAATTAGTGAACCCCTAAGGCACTTCATTTAGGCTTTAACTCTTATAGCTAAAACGCTGAACTTGCCTAATTAGCCTAGTCCATTAGCTACACTTGCTTAATTAGGCTAGACTCTCCTTTCGAGCCTGCCTAATTAGGGCAAACCACACCTAAGCCTATCGTACAACTTTCCAAAACTGCCGAGATCTTAGTTAGGAGTTCCTAACCTTGGTCAGGCCCTAATCGTCCTATTGACCACCCAAACGCACAAATTACAAAAAGGAAAAGTTTTCATAGAGAAGAGCCTCTAAACGATCGAATTAGAACCCACCTCAAAAATTTCACCAAAAAAGGTTGTTTTGATGCCCAAATATCCTCAAATTTGATCATATCGACATCAAAATGCATAGACATGAGAAAAAATGAATTTCAAGTTTTGAAAACAGCACATCTTGTAACACATTCTTTGACCATCAATTTTTAAAATTTTCAAGTTTTTATAGATATGCTCGATCTACACTATTTTTGAAGCATTAAATTTTATAATTAAAGATAAAAATATATTTTAAGGCTATCTCAAAGATTTCCAATGTTGAAACCATAGTTCTTGACACCATTTGAAGGTGGGCTTTTCTTTGATTATTTAGAGCCTCGGCTCTATACAAAAATAAAAATTAAATACATTTTCCAACACTCAGTGAACCTTTCTGTGAATTTTCAAACATCCCCAACTTTCGATCTATAATCCAATCGTGGCTCCTAGGGACTGTGTTTCAGGGTTCAATAAATTAGGTGAAGCATGAGTCGACACTGCCTCAAGGCGCTCATGCAAGTGTGTAGTGCTCCTTAAATGCCCTTGTGCCCTTGCAAACATTTGCGTGGGTTGCACATTTTGAGTGTTCCACAGATTTTCTCTCTCGAGAAGGTCTTCACGAATTCTAAACATTTTTTTATTTTTGAAATTTTGTTTCTAGACGCTCTTACAATCATTTATTTTGAAATTTAAGAGACATACAATGATTACGATATCCATATACAAAAAATAAATAATTTCCTTGCAAATAATGCCATATATTTACTAATATAAAGGTCCATATCAAAAGTATTGCACCCGAAAGTAAGAAACTATCTGTCCTTAGATAGATTCATCTTTCAGTCTCACACAAAAAGAACTCTGATTCTGCTCAACCCCAATAAATTTTTTTGGACTACTATTTCGAAAAATACAAAACTATTATTATTCTCCGTCGGATTATACCTTCTTCAAAAGTTAATAGGGAAAACTGCTCCTCTAGGCTTGAACAGAGGCGACGAATTCCCAATCTCTTTTAGAGGCGAGCGGTTTGTCCCCTTACCTTTCTTCTCCTTTCTCAGTCTGCAAACTAAGACCCTCTTGTCAGTGATCGAAGATTCGTTTTCCTTTTCAAGTTCGAGCGGATCATCGTTGGGCCTAATGATTTTCGTTCGCTCGGTCTTGACAGTCAAGGTTTGATTCAATGAGCCAATGCTGTTCTTTTCATCCATTTCTTGTTGGAGTCTTGAGAATTGTTTACGCAACTCCCATAGTTTCTTCTCTGAGGATCTGGCTCTGTGCCTCCACTCATGCATCTATGAGCGGAGAGAAAGAAGGACAAAACTAAAATTTCAGTTCTTGAAGTTGCATTAAAAGATAAAAACTAAAGAAATTAAGAAAGGGAAATAACAATATATTTTTCCATTTTCTTTTCATTTTTCAGTTTGATAGTTAACTTTATTTTGCAAGGAAAATTGATAATTTATCCCTGCGTGTGATGGAAAATACATTTTTCACAAAGAAGAAATCCTAACCTTTTCTCATGTCCATGCATCTTGATGTTGAGATGATCAATTTGTGGATATTTATACATCAAAACAACCTCTTCTAATGAAATTTTTGAGATGGGCTATAATTTAATTGTTTAAAACCTTGGCTCTATGATCTTTTCAAATAAATTAACAGATAAAGATAACTAAGAAGAACTTTTTTTAAAGAAAAATAACTGAAAAAAGAACAAGTATAATAACCAAAAAAGAAATCAACACACCTTTTATCACTGTATGGAAGCCCTAACTTATCTGGAATGACAAAGTAGTTCACAAACTTTTGAAATTGAAATGACACGAGAGCCAAAAATGAAAAGATTCGAAACTAACCGTTGTCATCTCTTATCCCTAAAAACGATGGGGTAAAGTTTGTGTCCCCACCCTTATGCATATCTGGCTAGGACAAATGAAAGGACCATTATACCCACTACGCAAAACACAACGGGAAAAGTTTATATAAGCAAAACCTTATAATGTAGAACTACAGATGCATCTCAAAAATCCATCGAAAAAAAGTAGTTTTAATGTTGAAAAACCCTTTGATTGATCGAGATATATGACCATGAAAAATAAAAAAATTTTAAGTCTCAAAAATAGTACATTTTACAACATATTATCTACATTGTCCATTTTCAAGATTTTTATATGTTTATAGATCTACTTGATTTTAACTATTTTTTAAATTTAAAATTTTATAATTAGATATAAAAATAGATTGTGAGATAAT